TGGGGGGGGGGGGGGGGGGGGACGAGACTATTAAATGAAGCCGACTAATGCAGAGTTTACAAAGACAGTACAACGTTTGATAATAATATTTTGGGAAAAGTACAAGACAGAAATGAATAATGGCCTGTGGGATCTGTTGCCTCTCGTGAGGCTGTGATAATATCGTCCATGTGAAGTGGTCTGGTGATCCCAATGTGATTAGACCAACGTTCTCCCTCTTGGAAAAGACACAGCTAGTTGGAGCCGCTCTTCTCCATAAATCTCATACTCTCATACTGAAGTCATCCTCCTCGAGTATTTCATTATTTTCAGTAATCTGTGTAGAAAAAATCTAATAATAGACCCTGAGAAATGGAGAACGTTGAAAATACCCCCCGCCAGAAAAACAAAAAAAACCTAGTAATATAGAATTTGTAAAATTTCTATCGGAACTAAAGCTAGCCGTTTACTTACCATGGCTAAAACTGATGTCCATCTCTTTCTGTTTTGCTTTCTATTTTTCCGATAAAAGGTACGTGTTGAAGGCGTTTATGTCGATTGAAGTGTCCTACTGACTGCGTTTGTCTCTTCCTAATTGTTTTATTGGTGAGCATCGGGTTTCTTTCAGCATTACTACTAAAATGTGTGGTGTCTTATCCTTTCCCGAAATTCTCGTCTTCCAGAAAACGGTGTTTCTTTTGTTTGCTTTTATTCTATGCTCAACATCTTTGGTAACTGGCAGGCATGCCATGCATAGCCAGTAAGAAGGGTTAACCACAAACCGTTTTTTTGAATCTCGTATTTTTAGTTATTGAGATAGGTCTTTCCAGGATTAGATTCGTTAAAATTGTATTGGTTCTAGCTTTGCTATTGCCATTGTTCGTGGGGGGTTTTAAACTGTTTGTTTGTTTTGTTTGTTTAGTATAGGGTTTTACGGCGCTCGCAACTGCATAAGGTCTTATGAGCGCGCGGGACACACCTAATACTTTTTCGTTGGTAGGAAATTTTGAATTTTGCCCGGGTGGCGGCCGAAGCCTACTCTTATCGATTTTAGACCACCAAGGGATCTTAAACGTGCGCAGCTTGCACACGGGCCCTCCGAGATTTTTCGCCCTTGTCCGAGAAGGCTAGGTGTAGATCTTTCCTACCAGAAGATCAGGGGTGTGGCAGAAAGACAGCAGTTAGGAGGAGCCAAGGAGTAGCAGTAGAAAGGCTGCAGAAAGAGTCAGGAGCCCAGAGGAGGGGGCAAAGAAGGTGAGGGGATGGGGGCAGAAAGTGGAAATGAAAGCAGACAACAGAACATTGTTAGAGATCAGGAAATGATGTGAAAGGAGACAATTTTAGAGAAGAAAATTTTTTTGGTCGCTACCCGGAATCACACCCGGGACCTTTGAATGAGAGGCCAACACCTTAACCTCTAAGCCACGAGAGCCCCCTTTTTTAACTGTGAAACATTGGGCATGAGGTGTAGTTATATAACCACGGTAAACTGTTGAACTTGTTTGATTTTGACACCCTTTTGTCGAGATAACAAACATAATTTATTGCCTCATTTTTCTTCTTTCTTTTAAATAGACATTGCCATTAATGTCTTCTTTACACATAATCAAAAATAAATCTTTGCATTCCCTGTCCGTCACTGCAGGTCTTTTTCTGAATCTGTAATTAAAAATGTGCCATTGGCATATATTATTTAAATGTTTTTATATTTTGTCCATTCAATTTCAGACCTGGACTTTTCCCTATATTATTTATAAGGATTGTTTCATTAAATAACGAAGTCTGGTGACACCTCACGCATCCTTCCCACACTGCCCTTATAATCCGCGTACATTGGCTGTATTCTCCCTTTATTCTTACAGCAGCGTTTTGGTCCCAGTATAAGTTCTTCCGAATTCTTATATATATCCTTTCTGCCTATGTCTAGCTCTTCCAAAATTCTAAATAGTCCATCATGTCTAGATCTAACATAAATGTAGACCTTTCTGTGCTTCAGTACACCTTTTCATAAACATTGTTAGTTAGGGTGTTTTTGGACATTTGGGTAGATATACCCTGTCAGGAACTAAGACAAAATATATTGTGTTTTATACATCTCTGATCTTTTACTTTTTTCTTTTTCTCATTCTTTCCATTAGCATTCACCAGAATTTCTTTGGTAAATGACTCATACTGTGTATTGTTCTATGCACCTCACACTCTGGCGCTTGATGAGTTAGGCATAGCTATAACGATTGACTTTTAAATATATGTATATTGGAACCCCACCATTGTCAAAACGGATTTAAGAGCTTTGTTGCTCTTTCTGTACCAATTTCTTCTTACGTGACAATCACTTGAACGAATATAATACTTTCCGACCTTTTTTCTGTTCCATTTTAAAAAATCAGAATTCTTTCAAAATTGGTGGCTCATTCATATTTCTTTATTACCGGCTTGTATTATTACCATCTATTTAAAACATTCCCCTCGTCCATTAAAACGTCTCCTTCTTTTTTCATCATATGCATTCTGTATTTGAGTGTGCCCCCCCCCCCCCCCCCTTTCCTTCGATTTTTTAATGCAGTGTTTGATATCTTTGTTTAGAATTTCCTATTTTTTGACATCATACCGTGTTTATTTCGCTGTATAACTTGCCCCCCCCCCCCCCTTTTTTTATTTCCACATTTAAAGCGTTTCATATTCAAAGCGTAGACCCACGTGATTGATTTTGACTGCTTTCTCTCTTGTAGTTGAATGAACGAAAATTTAAAAAGAAAAGTTGGAGGCACTCCAAGAAGGTTATAAATGATAATGCTATAAGGTCCTTGAAGCAAATCCAGGTAGATCTATTCTTAACCTCACCTCACAATGATTTCTTTGTACACAGCCTTCGCCCTTTCCACACCTCGGATCACGCCAGTTTTTTTGCTTTATGGACAAAATGTGTGTCTCTCTGACAAAAAAAAGGTTAATACATAACACATTTGATTTGTTTATGTCCTTTATTTGTCATCATCAACTGATTCTAAGACTTTATTTTATGAAAATAATTCCAGTATGAAGGACGCATCCTCCCCGCTCCTCCACTCACATTTATCGTTGAAAATCATGTTGAGGCTCCGGCATGTGCAAACTACGGCCCGCGGGCCAGATCCGGTCTGTCGGCAATTTTAGTCCGACCTGCGAGTCAACTCTTTAATAAACTGTTCTATGGTTGTGGCCTCCGGCTTACCGATAATTGATTTTAAAAAATAAAACTGTTCGTTTGGAAAGTTAAAATGTGTAGCTTCCGGCATAGCTGGAAGTAGTTGCTCTATTTTTAGTCGATATAAAAGCCCTTGAGCGAAATACGCTTTTTAAAAAAAATCGACTTTATCTTACTTTTTGGAGCTTGGGTATTTTAATCGATTTCACGCACTTTTCTCGTGCCTTGGCCCGCGAGATAATCGGAACAGCTTTAAAATACAGTGCACGAATTTGACATGCATGCACATTCCTGCCCGTCATGTCTGCACAAGGGCATTGGGGATCAAGGCTGTTTAACGACCCGTTTTGAATTTACACGTTTGCACAATCGTCTGAATGGTGTTTATCAGTGTCCTTCTACATGTATGTGTCTGCCTGTCTGTATTTTTCTTATCATGTGTTTATGTTTTTGCCTTTTTTGTAAGACTCATTGTGCACGATCATAAATTATAATAAACTTACGATAAGACTGTGCAGGTGTTTGGAAGGCGCCACCAGTAGGTCCTACTTCTTTACCTTCCCTCTGTTGTTTTTGTCTGACTGTCTTACTTTTCCCCAGCGCTAAACGATCGTTTTTGTGTCGATATGCTTCTCTCTACTCAAAACAAGATACTTTTTTTCAGGCTGTCTCGTGACTTGATTTTATAACAAGGGAAAAAATATTTGTCTCGATTTTTCCACCAAATGATCCGTTGCCCCAAACATAAGTTTACATAATGTTCAAACGAACAGATGAGTTTAAGGTTGTTCTAAACAGTCTTCAACACGCTGTTTGCATTTTGGGGAAGAAAAAAATCTTGTCGTCTGCCCTGTTGTTTAAAGGGATATTGAAATACTCTAACTATAATTTCAGTAAAAGAAAACAAAGAATTTATTTCTGGGGTGGTTGGTGGTTGCTCTGGTGTGGTTCACTCCTTCTTTCCTATCAAACATATGTCGTCCTTATCGCCCCTTCTCCTTTTCTTTGTATGCTACTCTCTAGTAGTAACACGTAATCTTTGGTATTTATATAACCTCTTATTTGTGTTGCAAGTGCCATGAGACTCCATTACTAAACCTACTTTTAAAAATATAAATAAGTGAATAATATTTTTAATGAATAAAAAGTTTGGCGCAAAAAAGGTTAAAAACTTAAACAATCTGTTTCCACAGGCTTTGACTGTGTGCGGCAGCGATCATCATGAAGGTTAAGTGGAAAGAGTTCCTCGGAAAGCTTGGTCTCCGGTCGCAGTCACCCCCAGGCGGGGTGTTCGTCAGTGTCAACGTGATGAAATCGATGCGCTCTCCGCCCGGGCGAAACTACCACACGAGCCGGGTCATCTTGAGGGTCAGCATCTGGACGTGCTTGTTCCTCGTTCTCTTCTTCTTCATCGTCTACACAATCCTACTGGCCTATGTGGACGACCAGTTCCATCCAGCCCTCATCAGTCCACCGGGAATAGTGTACCATAAGAGGTTGCATGGAAAGTTGAATGTGGATGATGTGAAGAGCGGCAATGCTGGAGCTCGTGTGGACCAATCAAAGGAGGTTTTGTGGAATTCTAGCCAGTTCTACAATGATGAGCCCATGCCTCAGTGCAAGTGGCAGACGTTGTTTAGACTCTTGGTGGCTACCTCAGTACAAAACAAAGATAGAAGAGATCGGATTCGGGAAACATGGTGTAACCCAAAAGCATTTGGTTTTCCCAAACATTCGTGGCATTGTATCTTTCTGGTGGGTCAGGCTAAGTCGGAGAAACTGAAGTCTGAGCTATATAAAGAATCGTCTCAGCATCAAGATATGCTTGTGGGAAATTATGTCGATACCTACCGTAATCTGACTCTTAAAATTATCCATGGTTTTAATTGGAGCATTAACTTCTGCCCCAGTGCTTATGTTGTAAAAACAGACGACGACTGTTTCGTCAATGCAGGGCTTTTACACAGATTTTTATTGTATCACAATCAAAAGACGATAGACCTCTATGTGGGAAGTGTCGTACAAGATCGGGAGAAGCTTCGGGTCGTCCGTGGGGATCAGAAATGGTCTGTACCATACTCGGATTACCCTGAGAAGTATTACCCCCCGTACGCTAGCGGCATTGGCTACGTCATGTCTTCAGATGTGGCGAAGCGTCTCGTCTCAGGAAGTATGTATATCAAACCATTTGCTAATGAAGACGCTTATGTGGGGGTTGTGCTTTCCCGCATCGGAGTGCAATTTACATCAAGTTCCAGGTTCATGTTGAGCTCAGGAGGACTGTCGTTGTGCAATTTCATGTACGTGCTTATGCTGCACGATGTCTCTGTGGAGCGCCAGCGTGAGTTGATGAAGAAAGCATTAGCAGCACCAGAGCACTGCAAGCACCACAAGCCTGTGGAAACATGGGAGTAGCTTCCCCTGGGTGTGTGGAGGACACAGGCCCCGCTGAAGGTCAGTAGTGTTCTGTGAGGTTCATTTTGGTTAAGTTAAAGATGTGTGTTGTGAAAACAAATTTCGACTGCTCAGTGTATGACTCCATCATACGTCACTTTTCTAAATGGCGTATGGTAGAGTCTTACACCGAACAATCAATATGTAGTTTTATTTTAATCCCAAAGTGGGTTGGGTTAAGCAAATTATCTTACTGGATACAAACTACGACGTTGCAGACCAGTGGGTACATGATCTGATGGAAAGACACTTTTAGCAGTTGAAAGTTGAAAAGGGGCTGGTTCTCAGGCCTGTTGTTTTGATGGAATTCATAATTTGGAAAAAGAAAAATGTAAACCTCACTGGTTGGCAACCCCTAAAAAGTTATTATCGTGTTTTAATGATTATTTTTAGTTTTATTAGTTCATTTTATTAATTTTTAATTAAATTTTTTTTTTTTAGGGGGGAGGGTGGGGTAAGGTTGTTATCATCACCAGATGATTATATTTCCGTGTGGCAGTGACTGTCATTGGTGTGTTGTTGTTTTATGTAGGGATTGAAATTTTTCTGCTTGAAGTTTTAAAAAGTCGTTTGCAGGGTTGGGTTGATTTAAATCAGGTCGATTTAAACCAGTTTTTAAAAAATTTTAATCAACTTGATTTTTAACATGAAAATCGATGATTTAAATAACTTTTTAAAAAAATATTTTTATTTAGTTTTTACAGATTTCAACATTCAGAATTCCTTTCTTTAGTTTCATACAACAGATATAAGGTTTAGTAGAATGAATCTAAAATAATCATGCTTAAAAGTCTGCTTTCCCCCCTGTCACTGTAAAATAATACAGTTTTCAATTTACTTTTTTTCATAATTGAAATCAGGGTTGGGTTGATTTAAATCAGGTCGATTTAAATCAGTTGATTAAAAAAATTTTTTAATCAACTTGATTTTAAAAATAAAACTCAGTGATTTAAATCACTTTTTACAAAAATGTATTCAGTTTTTACATATTTAAACATTCAGAATTCCATTCCTTGGTGTTATTAAACAGATATAAGGTTTAGTAGACTAATATAATCGTGCTTAAAAGTCTGCTTTCCCCCCTGTCACTGTAAAATAATACAGTTTTCAATTTACTTTTTTTCATAATTGAAATCAGGGTTGGGTTGATTTAAATCAGTTGATTTTTTTAATTTACATCAACTTGATTTTAAAAATAAAACTCAGTGATTTAAATCACTTTTTTAAAATGTATTCTGTTTTACATCTTTAGACATTCAGAATTCCTTTTCTTGGTTTTATAAAACAGATATAAGGTTTAGTAGACTAATATAATCATTCTTAAAAGTCTGCTTTCCCCCCTGTCACTGTAAAATAATACAGTATTCAATTTGCTTTTTTTTTCATAATTGAAATTAGCATTTTCTTTTTCTTTTTAGACAAGCACAAGCGCGCACACACACATACACACACTGTAATAAAATGCAAGTTTATCCATGCACAGTTACACCCCCCCCCCCTTCCTTTTAGACTGACATTTTCATTTTTTGTCTGTAGCTATAGTTCACTGATATAGCAGATTTAGGCTTTTTTTTGCAGTTGCTTAAATTAATCATTAGTTAAAATAAAGACAATGCATTTTGCACTAAAAGAACATACTTTAAGCCACCAAAAATCCCAAACTGTGAAATCAAAAAATTTTAAAAATCGATTTTTTCAATTTTTATTTAAAAAATCAAAACAATCACCAACCCTGGTCGTGTGTGTATTTTGAGACTTTCTCATTTTGTTTTTTTTTGTTTCTTTACCATATATTATATCTCTTTTACACGTTATGGTGTCTTTGTTGGTCAAGCAAACGTTCGTTGCCTTTTAATCTTTTTTTTATAATCGTCTAATTTTTTGTGATGCCTATCTTCTACTCAACAGTATTAATGAAAGAATGAGACAGGCAACAATTTTTTTTGTTTTGTAATAACTGGTTTTCATTCTTTCCAGGGTCTGATACTAAAACAAAGAAGGTCCAGTGCCTTACTTTTCAAAGTAATCAACAACAGACTACTCACAATACAGTATTTCATGCAGGTCCCAACGAACAATTCAGTGACGCAGCAAAATGTCAGACGTGTATTTTATGGAAATAGCTCTGTTCTTTACTTTTGTACATGCCGTGTGATAGTGTAAGACATTGAGAGACATTCTATGACAAGTCTGTACCTTTTCTGTCTGAGAATCAGAAATCCATGAAGCAGCACCTATCAGTGTTGACTTTTGTGGTGAATGGTTGGTGTTTTGTTTTTGTACACGAACTTGTGTTGACTTGAATATTCATGTTATATTTTGGTGCCAATTTTCTGTGACTGACTGAAAGGTTTTATCGCACAATGTTTCATCTTTAGTTTCCTACTCAAAAGTTGACTGAACAAAATGGTTTTGGCTCGTCCTCTTTTCAAGTGTTGAGGGTATAACTCATTGCTTTATTCTCTTTTTCTTGGGGGGGGGGGGGGGGGGGGATCTCATAAAGTTATCAAATTGTTTCGGTTAAGTATTTCAACAACAATACTGCAATATGAGAATTATAACTTATGAAAATTTCAGTCATTTACGCTTTTCTGCATTTGTATATTCTGCATTTAATTAATTGTCGTTTTACTCGAATTTGCTTCAGGTTTGTCTTAAAATTGCGCTATTTTTCTTATCTCAAGTCGTCTAATTTATATATCATCATGTTATTGTTTCTACCAATAGTCACATTCTGAAGGAAACAACTTCCATTCAGTGTTAGCTTAAAGGAGCTGAAAGTGTACAATTTTTATTTGCTGAATGAAAGCCTAGGTTGAGTTTGTGTCTGGAGTTTCTTGCAGGCTGCTAGCCTTTGCTTTAACTACATGTCATAGATAGGCTGATTTTATACTGTTCAAGAATTCCACATTCCATTATTTATATGAGAAGGCATGTAACGGTGTTTTCTTTTTTATGATGCCTGTTAATGTATTTTGAAACACAAGTCTCATTTGCTGCAGTGGACTTAAGTTTTATTTTGAAAGCTCTTTTCTTTTGCTTTACACTATGTGGTTATCTTTTTAGAAAATACCAATACTCAGTGTTTACTATAAGATTTGTATTAAGCTTGATAGTGCCTGTGGCACCACGAAAGGACCCACTGGGATCAAATCCACACTTCTGGCTGTTCGCTTTAATGACCATTTTCATTTCATAAATTACCTTACAGCTGTTCTCATGTATCTGAAATGTTTGAAAAGTGTCTGGCGGTAAACGTTTTTCATCTCTTCCCGTCCTGTTTCTGTCTGTTGTCTTGCTGCTTTTCACTTTTGTTGTCAGCATGTTGTGTTTTTTAACTCAAAATGGAATGTATTAGTAGTAGACATCTTGTCATATAATATAGGTAGCTTCGATGCTCAAAAGTGCTCTGCAATAACACTCATGTATCACTAAAAGGAGATGTATCTTATTCAGAGGTTTCCTGATTGGAAACAACTACTCACTATGAATGCTCAATGATAGTGAAAGAATCTCATCAAATTTGTTTGGGATTTTAAACACTTTTGAGTCCGTTGCAATATATGTATGTATGGCTCTGTCAAAGATCACATGCTGTTAAAAAACAACACTCAGACGAAACAGGGGCAAACGAATATTTTGAAATGGCATTCACCAGCTGGATTTTCAGGTTTTAAGAATCATCATATGACATTGCGATTTTACGTTGACTCAGTTTAATACATTTAATTACTACTTACACGGGTGCTAAAAAACAACTGTTTATAGAGAGTTGTTTGAAGTTAATTGTGTATGGAAGGTAATCATTACGTTCCTTTTTATTTGACAATTTGTTGCTTGCGCCTGTTAGTTCTTGGTAGGTAGGAATAGTATGCTGCTGATAATGAAGTTTGTTTTATGGACATGAGGTGCATAAAGTTGATACCCTTTTGTTTCAGACGTGATATTATATCGTTATTTTAATTGTTGCTAATGTTAGCGAAATGCTGTTACCGTGATAATCACAGTAATTGAAATCTGAAGTCCATTTTAAAAAAATGATAATAATAAACAGGTTAAATTTACGAAATATTTAATAGTATCTGTTTCCTAATTAGCTGTGGGTTTTTATGCTGGTCCCTTGACAGTACTTATGTCATAGTTTGGTTGGAGAACGCGAATGGTAGGTCCTACTTCTTCACTTTCCCTCTGTAGTTTCTTTCTGTCTATCTTACTTTTCCCCCCAGCACTAAATGACCGTTATTGTGCCGTTGTGCTGATGCTCTATACTCGAACAAATTGTTCCAGTTTTGCTTGTTGTTTTTGTTGTTAAATTTATTTCGGTCTTTTTTAAATCTTTTTTTTTTTTAGATATAGTGTTTGCGGTTGTAGTTTTCTGTCAGTCAAGTAGAATTTTCTCTTTTATTCTTATTGTATAGTTTTGTTTTTGGTTTCATTTGGGAGGCCGTAAAGGAGGGGGGCGCTGGTGATGTATATAATAATGGCAGCTTGTGTCTTAGGTTGTGTAGTGAGTGTACAAAGTAGAAAGGCTGTAGTTCTTGTGGTGTGTACTCTTCAGTAGTATTTGCAGTAACTGATAGCAGTGTGCATTTCATGCAAAAAAGATGCCATTCAATACATTGGGGTGTTGTTGTTGTTTTGCTCATGTGCGTGTGTTTGTAGCATATATTGTATTATGGAGTGCGTCCTCAGTCAAAGTTGTTTTGATACTGAGATCACTTATTTTTTGCTTTTTCATGACAGAAAAAAAGAACATTGGGATAGATTGGTTTCCATTTTTTTTGTGGAACTATGTATCTATGTATGTATCACCTCGTTTGCCGTGTATTTACTCTGTGAATTTGATAGAGAATTATTTTTCCCCCGTTAGTATTTTGAGTGTGCTGGGTGATCTGTTCGACGTTCGTGCTGCAATAAGAAATATAGATGATTCCAGATAATAATTTTTTTTACTGATTGTTCTTAAAGATGCAAACGAGATGTTGTTTTCGCATTTTGCGATCGAATACATACGTATGTTCATGATTTTCTTGTCACTCTTCTCTTTCCTTATATTTATTTTTGTTTTAAATAAAAAAGTAAACTTATATTTGTTGAATTATTTTCAATACCATTTCTGTCATACATTAAACATTCCTTTATATAATCTCATTTGTACTCTGTCTGACTGCCTGTCTGTCTGTCAATCTGTCTGTCTGTCTGTCTGTCTGTCTGCCTGCCTGCCTGCCTGTCTACCCCTATCTCTCTCTCTTTCTTTCTCTCTCTCTCTTTCTTTCTCTCTCTCTCTCTCTCTCCCTCTCTTTCCCCCCCCCTCTCTCTCTCTCTCTCTCTCTCTCTCTCTCTCTCTCTCTCTCTCTCTCTCTCTCTCTCTCTCTCTCTCTCTCTCTCTCTCATCGCTTTGTAATTTAAATTGGATACTCACCGATTTCATGGACATTTGCAAACTGGTTGTGAGTGCCGTGCTGCAATAAAAAATCATTTCCATTATTATTATTGTTATTATTGTTATTATTATTATTATTATTATTATTATTATTATTATTATTATTATTATTATTGTTATTATTATTATTATTATTATTATTACTACTATTATTGTTAATATTACTATTAATATTACTTTTTTAAAAATTATTGTAGATTCATTGTCTAATGAGAATATCTGTGCATACTGTAATTATCATTGAAGCTGTTGAACAAAACTTGTAGTACCTTATTGTTTGATGGTATCTCTTTGCGTTGAACAAATTGTTTTGTTGGTCGTTTTTTTTTTTTCGTTTTGTATTCAAATTTGTCAATTTCACAATTGGGGCCCTCTAAAAGTTTCCCAAAACTTTCTGTTTTGCATTTTTTCACTAAGCTTTATTATTCCTCAATTGAAAATGCATTTTCTAGAGAATTTCTTTATAAAATGTACCCGATATGTGGGCATTATTGTACTTTCACTCCCTCCCCAAGCACACTGTCATGTAATAGCCAAATGAACTATTAGTGTATGCGCATGGTTGTTATCGATGTGTTAATTTATTTTGAATGAATATCTTTAAATAGCTTTTGTATTTTAAAGCGCGAGCACACACACACACACACACACACACACGAGCCTTCGCCCAAAGTCTGGGCCCGAGCCTCGAAAACCGTCGAAAATCGCTGTTAGTGTCAGTGGGGCCGAGATTTCATGAAGCCTGGCGCGGTTCAAAAATTGATGCTTTGCCAAATTTCAATATTATTTTTCCATCGGCCACGGGTAGAAAGAAGTGATGGAGTTTCGAAAAAATCCAGAAAAAAAAATGTAATTGACTTCATCTTCTAGTTTCTAGTAAGAGTTTTACGGCACTTGCAACACAATAAGGTCATATAAGTGCCTAAGATTAGAGGTGTTATAAGAGAGTAACATTTTTTTAAAAAAGGAGGAGAGATCTGGACGGTAGATGTTTGATAGGAAATAAGTAGCAAACCACGCCAGAGCACCCGCCGACCACTCACTACTTCATCTTCGTTATTAGCGTCAATGTCACCATGATACTGAACACCGTACCGGTTTCATATATTTCATGTCAAATAAAAATTTGGCATGGGGAAAAACGAATCCTTACATCCTGTACACAACACGTAAATTAACCACGCAAAATAGTGATATCCCCAGGCATGACTTGTCCCTGTGCTGTATTTTTTAAAAGAAAATAAATAAATAATAATAATTCCAGGCCAAGGCTCAACGCAAGGGGCATTGACTTTGCTAGTTGACGTCAATATTGGCTCATTATATATATATATATATATATATATATATATATATATATATATATATATATATATATATATATGTAATATATATTTGTGTGTGGCCTGCTTTACCCATTTGTTTCCCTGATGAGGTCAATGTGTACCCACGTAATGTAGCCGACTTCTTTCCGGTCGCCCCTCATGTGCAATTTCTGCCTGTCTTTTCGATTTCTCGTTTGCGCCTGATGTAGACAGCCGTTACCCGTTATGAATTTTGGCTAAGGGCCTAGTCGACCATGACCGTAAAACTGGAATTGTAATCTATGCATTGCTCACTGCGGGGAAGATGGAATAGATTTGGGACAGCGGGTTGATCGTACAGAAGATAGATGCAGTTTATTGCATCAGTTGTTTTTTTTTGTTGTTGTTGTTTTGGATGCTTTTTTTGGGTTGTTTTTAGGGGTTATTTTGGAAGGGGAAGGGCGAGTGCTCGTAAAAAAAGATGGAATAGATTTGGGACATCGGGTTGATCGTACAGAAGATGGATTCAGTTTATTGCAACCGTGTTTTTTTGTTTGTTTGTTGTTGTGTTTTTTTTGGGGTTTTTTTTGTTTTGGGATCTTTTTTGTGGGTTGTTTTTAGGGGTTATTTTGGAAGCGGAAGGGCGAGTGTTCGTTTTGTGTGCGTGTGTGTGGGTTTTTAAAAAAAAGTGATGTGAGAGAAAATAGGGGGGGGGGGGGTTGTGGTGCCCTGGGCAAAGGTCAGATGTATTGTGCACAAGGAGGTCCTTGATTGTGCAGCATGTTCCCACGCTGTGGACTGAGGCTACACCTGCAGTTTGCCAGAGTTTAGATGACAATGTCACGCTGTGTAAGTGGTCTGGCATTTTCGGACATGATTCTCAATCAACTGCCACCCCCCCCCCCCCCCCTTCCTTTGCTCTCTTATCCCAAATAAAAACATGTAGTGTTTATTTTGTAAAATGATAAACATTTCTGACCGTAATTTATGTGCCTGTTAAGAGAAATGAGTTTGTGTGTGAGAGGTTGGTTACAAGAGTACATGTTTAGATGCGCCCCCACCCTTTCCCCTCACCTGTTACACACGCTCTCTCTTTCTCTCTCTCTCTCTCTCTCTCTCTCTCTCTCTCTCTCTCTCTCTCTCTCCTTCTCTCTCTCTTTCTCTCTCACTCTCTCTTTTTCTCTCTCTCTCTCTCTCCCTCCCTCTCTCTTTCTCACTCAGCACAGACTGTTTTTGTATACCAAATTGGTATAGTTCCATTATAACCAGCCTCTACACATAGGGCTCCTACATAACTTATATATTGTTGACATGATTTTTTATTTGGGGAGGGAAAGGGGGGGGGGGGGGTGCTCTTTTTTTGTTGTTGTTATGGTTTATGTAGTGCGATGGCCACTTGGTGGACTTAACACACGACATTGAACCAAAAATTAATAAACTCATCTCAGGAAATGTTCTCGAGAGTTTTCCAGTGCTCAACGAGATAGCATATACTCTGGTTTACGTAATGATTCTTGTACTTTTTAAAAATATTGATACGTCTTTCATGACCCAGTTTTTACGTGAAAAAATGTATGCTGATGTCCATGGAAAATGAAAGATGAAACTTTTTGTGTGCCCTTTTCAGTTTATTGGTATTTTGATGCAAAGCCTTAGATTAATCTAGGCTTAATGTTTTAATTTTTATTATTGTTTTTATTTTGTGATCAGAATGTCAGATTAGTGCTTTCTGGAGGTTTTATTTTTGTCGCTCGCTGTGACCTGTTTACTTTTTAAAAGCTTGCATTTTCAGAATGTTAGTTTATCCTCATCATGGACTTTCACATTTGCTGAACTAAGATGTTGGTGGTTAGCCTTGTGATATGTTGGGGTTTTTTTTCGTTAAAAGTTGCATAAGTAATTATGTATATAATATATACCGTAGAGTCCACTTAAGCTGAACACGTTTACTTAGAAACAAACGGTAAAGCGAAAGTAAACGTGATCCCCGATTCTTTTCTTCTTTGTCTTTAAGCTATTGATTAGCCGAAATTCTCCCATTTCTAAACCGAAAATAACTTCGAGTGGGTTAAGTGGACTCCTCTGTTTATGAATATATATTTACTCATTTGCTCATAGTATCTGTGTGTGCGTGTGATGTAGGAAGATTAGTGATTCCTGGGAGCTTCTGGTGGAACAAATTGGTGAAAGTGTAACAATTATTGATAGTGTTATCGGGGGCTTACTTTCTGTATTCTTTTAATTTTTCCTTTAGGCTTTACTGTGAGATTCTTTCCTAATGTTCATTTTCGTTGTTTTACTTGTTTATTTCATTACGTGGCTGATATTGGGTCGAATCGCTTCTCGCCGTGGGTGGTTGGCGGGTGCTCTGGTGTGGTTTGCTTCTTCTTTCCTGTCAAACATCTATCATCCTTTTCTCCCCTCCTTCTATTTTATGCTTGTTACTCTCTTGTAACACCTCTATTCTTCTGGCGCTCATATGACCTTATGCGGTTGCGAGCGCCGTAAAACCTCTACTAAAACAAAAAGCTTCTCACCGGCTTATGATTGTTGAAAAGTGATTCCAGGTTGTGTTTTTTGGGGTTCTGTTGTTTGTTTCTTTGTTTATTGTGTGTGTGTGGTGGGGTGAGGGGGGGGGGAGTCTCTTGTCGAGGGGAGGCCAAGTAGGTAAAGTCCAGTGTCTTTTAAGAAACAAAAACAAAGTGTCCATCTACTGTCGAGATTTGTTTTGCGTCGTCTCTTTCAAACTCTTCCAACCGACATCTACACCCTCCTGTTCTCCTAAACCCTTTACATACATCATTATATTGCAGCGTCAGCGCTTTGTCATTATATCCTGTAAACAAAGAGAATTGTGCTGCTTTAGGAGTAGAGTCTAGGGGTTGGGGGAGGGAAAGGAGGGGTGGGACAGATCCCTGCCGTGATAAAAGCCTAAACATTGTTACTCTGAGTGAAGTGTTTACGTGTATTATGATTATTATTTCCTTGGCGTGTTGCAAAAAA